TCTTTTGTTGTGTGAAGACTTCATATTATTTAAAAAAAAATATATATATATATATATATATATATATATATAGATTTAGACTTTCAAAAAAATATGAGTTTTCATCTGTAGCTTTTTCATGTATATAGCTATGTATAGTGTTTTGGGAGCAAATGAATATGATATTTCTGAAATCAAATGAACCTTGTGATGTTGATGCATCTTGTGATAATAATACAGGCATGTTTAGTCAGAAAGCAGTATGAGTGCAAAATTAGTTTGACGTATTTTTAACTATTTTTGCATTTAATTTTATTGCTGTTGCATATTTGGATCATTTTCTAGAAAAATGTGTGTTGTAATAAATGAAAGTGAAAGTGAAGTGACGTGTGACCGAGTATGGTGACCCATACTCAGAATTTGTGCTTTGCATTTAACCCATCCAAATGCACACACACACAGTAGTGAACACACACGGAGCAGTGGGCAGCCATATTGCTGCGGCCCCCGGGGAGCAGTTGGGGGTTCAGTGCCTTGCTCAAGGGTCTCACCTCAGTCGTGGTATTGAAGGTGGAAGAGAGCGCTGGTTATTCACTACCCCCACCGACAATTCCTGCCGGACCTGAGACTCGAACCTGCAGCTCAACCTGTTGCAGGAACTACAACAAGAATGCATTTTGGTTACAAGTCCGACTCTCTAACCAACAATCCTAACCACTAAACGACCAGGGAAAGGCTAAATGCATGATTTGGTACAGTAGGCCTATATGTCAATAAATGACCTCCTTTTTGGACAGAAATATTTAAAGCCAAATTAACATGAAATATAGACCCACATTTTTTGTAGTCATTCACAAATTTTGGACTGGATTTTGTTGGTTTGTGCAGTGGCAAGATCAGACGTGCATTGCCACACAGCTCACAGCTCTGAGGGAATGCTGGTTGTAACTAACACTGAATATGATTTGTAAACATTCATACTTTCTCACATTTTTTTTTTCTCCTGGATGAATAAAAATGCACAATAAAACCACGCCATTTAGCAATTTCTGAAGAGCATCGAGAGCCATCTTCTCTCAAACTCAGGGAGAGACATTGAGGCAGCTGTCAGCCCTTTTTCATTTTTGTATAAAATAAAGAAATCAATAATTCTTTCAAGCCAGTTCAGGGAACAATCGCTAAGATGTCCTGTCACTCTCTGATTGTGTTTATGTAGACCATGAGTGCTGTTTTTATCCTCTCCCTAGGTCTTCTTTAAAAAAAAAAAAAAGAGGAAGAATCTTTACCTTTGACAGCATAATTTAAAAGCCTGTATTTTAGACTTCTAGTTTAAGGTCTCGCCAAACGACTCTGTATCAGCATTGACATTTTATACAGAACAGATTGATTGTCAAGATCTTCTCAGTGTTGCTGAATTGTTCCTTTCTTTTTAAACTGATGCAGCCAACCTGCTTGCTCTATCACCATTAATAAACAAAATGGTGACCGTAGACCCTCTAGCAATTATAAAACGTTAATATGACTTCTTTGTCTCAATGTACTGAAATCTTTGTTACAGAAATGTATTATTTGTGAGATAAATCACAGACTATAGTAGTTAAGCTGTAAGGTACAAAATGCTGTGCTGCCTGCAACCTTTGGAATATGGTTGAAACAGCTGAAATGATATGGACTGATTAGAATTCAACACTGGAATTATCCTTTTAATTGTAGAATAAAACAGCACGATTTTAAAGGTCATGGCCAAAAGCTCTATGTTCACTTAATTTTAAGTTTTTATATAAATTGGTGAACACATTCCAGAAGTTTGATCAACATAATTGACCAATGATTTTCTCAGTAGTAATTATCCTTATGTTTGCTAGACATTAGAAATCACTTGTGGGGATATATTCATACTTCACTTCATTAACCATTGCAAAGAGAGAAGGTGATGTATAAGGCAACAAAATGGCAATGCTATTGTTAGCTTTGCAGGTGTTTGAGTAGTGTCCTAGCAACCAAATTGCATAGGGTAAACAATGCTGTACATTTCTAGCATTTTGCAGGTGTACAATTATCAACAGAAAGAACCATTTCCAAGTTGCAAGTTCAACAGAGTTCAATGGAACTTGAGCCCATATTTGGCTAACAATGCTTTTGGGAAACACACTTCAGGCCTGTCTGATTGGCGCCAATGCATTTTGTGTTACATTAATTACTTAAATTATGAAGAACGATGGATTGGAGTTGTGTACTTTGCGTTATTACTAAGCCTTTTGTATGCATATGTTTTCAATGGTTTTCAAAAGGGTTTTCAAGCTTTGGCAAAATATCGAAATATCAGTTTGCAACGTGACAACATGCAATGTAGTTCAAATGATGGAGGTGCAAGGTGCTATCGATTCATCATACTATGGTGGTTAAGCAGCAAGTTAGGTCATTGTATGGGAAAGCCATAATGTTTGCACCTTTTTGGGGGAATTAACAAAATTCAAATTACTTACAGTGTCTCTGCATGTTAAATTAATTTTTACTGACTCTCATGTTCAAAATATTCCACACCGTCTTTCTTCTGTGGAACACAAAAGGAAATTTAGAATGGCAGTTTCAATCCCCTCTCACTTTCATTGTATTTAAAAAAAAAAAAAAAAATGCATTGAAAGTGAATGGTGACTGAGGCTGTCATTCTGCATAACATCTCCTTTTGTGTTCCACTGAAGAAAGAAAGACATACGGGTTTGGAACAACATGAGGGGGAGTACATGAAGGCACAATTGTCAATTTTGAGTGAATTATCTCTTCAGTATGATATTTAAGAAGGTAACATTGAAAAAAAATAAAAATACACCAATCACATTTAAAGATGGGACAGAATATAGATTAGAATAATGCCTCTTAAATAGACTATTTGAAAAAAAAAAAAAGGAAATTGTTGATAATAGGGTCGTCCTAATTAAGCTTCATTTTTTTCCCCCTTCTCCTTCCAGCAATCTCTCCTTGAATCCAATTTTCTTTCTGCTGCCTTCCTTTCTGTGCTCACATCAAATGAACATGCAACCGTTTCCTTTGCACCATACATGGCAGAACTTCTCAAAGACTCGCATATCTTGAATTAAACAAAATTATTTAATTGCACCTTCATCTCTGCTTCTGCAATCAGCCTTACATGTGTAGCCATGGAATAGAATTGAGAGTGATGACCGACAATTTAAACTTCTTTTAATACGATTACTCTCTGAGTCAGCCTCATGTGGATAGGGCCATTCTGCTCTGGGCTTTTTAACCCGTGGTGTTTGTCATGACCTCTCTTTTATTCCTGTAGGTCATCAAGCTGGCGTTTGAAGAGTTTGATCTAGAGCGAGCATACGATACGTTAACAGTGGGTGACGGAGGGAAGATAGGTGATGCTCGAAGAGTACTTTATGTGTGAGTATAGAGCAAAAAAGATTCGGACCCACTTTATGTTAAGTGGCCTTAACAACTACACTCTAAAAAAAAAAGGTTCTTCAGCGGTTCTTTGGAGTGGTTAAGGTGCTATATAGCACCTGTAAAAATAGGTGCTAAATAGCACTAAAAGTGGTTCCCCTATGATTACGAGCCAAAGAACCGCTTTTAGTGCTATATAGCACCTGTAAAAATAGGTGCTAAATAGCACTAAAAGTGGTTCCCCTATGATTACGAGCCAAAGAACCGCTTTTAGTGCTATATAGCACCTGTAAAAATAGGTGCTAAATAGCACTAAAAGTGGTTCCCCTATGATTACGAGCCAAAGAACCGCTTTTAGTGCTATATAGCACCTGTAAAAATAGGTGCTAAATAGCACTAAAAGTGGTTCCCCTATGATTACGAGCCAAAGAACCGCTTTTAGTGCTATATAGCACCTGTAAAAATAGGTGCTAAATAGCACTAAAAGTGGTTCCCCTATGATTACGAGCCAAAGAACCGCTTTTAGTGCTATATAGCACCTGTAAAAATAGGTGCTAAATAGCACTAAAAGTGGTTCCCCTATGATTACGAGCCAAAGAACCGCTTTTAGTGCTATATAGCACCTGTAAAAATAGGTGCTAAATAGCACTAAAAGTGGTTCCCCTATGATTACGAGCCAAAGAACCGCTTTTAGTGCTATATAGCACCATTTTTTTTTAGAGTGTATGTACTTACATATAAATTAATAATTTGGTACAATGCACTTATTGTGTACGTTGTACTTATATTTTAAAAATACCTGCATGTAATTACATCTGTAATTAATTTCTGTAATTACATTTATAATTACACAGTTGACCCATCCCTTACACCTTAACCCACCCTTAAACCTACCCATACCACCAAACCTGTCCCTAACCTTACCCGTTTCCCACCTCAATAGCAGCAAAAGTGTTTTGCAATACAATATGAACACAATAAGTACAGTGTACTTAATTTTTTGATGTAAGTACATAGTAGTTAAGGCCACTTAATATAAAGTGGGGCCAAAGATTCTTATGTTAAACTTTGAACAGACATGTGCTTCTATTCACAAATGCCTCCATGACTTATTTTCTTTCAAGAGTAACCACCACATGAAAAAGGCACTTATGTATAAGGTTTCATGGCTCTATATGAATACACAAATCAAAGAATAAAATTTGATTTTGTGCATCTATTCTAGTCTCACGGGATCCAGCGTGCCCGATTTGATTGTGAGTATGAGCAACCAGATGTGGCTCCATCTGCAATCTGATGACACGATCGGATCACAAGGTTTCAAGGCTGTATATGAAGGTATGCAATGTTTGGAAACACCTTCTGGTTTTCGCGTTCTTAAGGTCATTTCCACTGACTGTAAGAGTGATGAAACAAGACTGTAATCGGTCACCTTTTTCTTCTTTTCCAAGAAATATCAATGTGTTATTTATTTCCTTTTTACAGTGAAAATGTATGCTTTGGTGAATTCCGGTTGTTAAAGCGTACCAGTTTCAAAACAGCATGCAAATCAAAGGCAAATGGAGCAGCATATGTGCTGTGCAGACATGTTTTAAAAGCTTGCGTGAAATATTCTACCTGCCGCTCACCCTGCAGGAGAATAGCATCAAAGCAAGTCAGATCTGAGGCATGTATTTACATATACACAGATAAACCGATAAAATTTGCTACAGAAACAGCCATTTCTTATTCGCAGGTAAACATGTTACACCATTATCAAATTATCAGCTCAAGAACTGAGCTCTTGACAGTGTGGTGAAAATGCTTCTTTTTACATCCTGTTCTAAATTAATAAATATTATTAAAGTATTTTATCAGCTAATGAAAATGTTTCTATTTTGCATTCATTTCATATTTAATACATTTTTGTTGCAAATTATATAGTGAAAATGTTTTTATTTTACATTATTTTTTAATTTATTTATTTATTGATACAAATGAAACATTTTCTGTTAAATTGTTTTCTAATTTAATTCCAATATATTTTGTCACAAATGACATTATCAGTATAATAATTTGAGTCAAAAAGTAAAATTATTCACATGATCAATGTAACCAAGAAATTTTGGACGTAGAAATAGAATATTTATTTTTTATTATATGCCATAACTGTTTTTGTTTGTTTGCTTTATGTTTATGAATATTTCCAGATTAAAATTTTATGTATAATTGTTTGAGTACAGAGTGGATTTCCTTAAATATAATGAGAGTACACTTTAATTTATTTCAGCATGATGAAGTAGACTTTTTATTTTGTGTTTATCTATTCCCTTTGTTTCTTCCTTTTTTAACCCCGTAACTTGTTTTTCAAAAGCATGCTGTTTAATACCTTGAAATAGAGTTTTTCCCTAGCCACTCTTCACTCTAAACTGTAACCTCACAATTGAGCATTTCTCACTGTCTGGATAGCCCAGCACAATGACACAAACCCAATTAACTTTGTGTAAACCCAATTTCACACTTGTGCTTCTAGTCACGTTGTCATGTTTGACAACATTTCCACCGGGACCCACTGGTGGGACACTTTTTGTTTGAGGCTGTGTAGATGTCAAACTCTAATTCATCATTTCATACGTACCTTTAAAGGTTCTTAGATTGGCAAAGGATTGTTTTCCCCTCAACGGAAATTATAAACTTTACAGAAATAGTGGTCACCAACAATAAGCAGACAGCCCAAAGGACCATGTCAAAGTACATGATTAAACCCAAACCTCTAAAGAGTTAAATTAATAGTTCACGAAATACTTCATAAAACGAAAACCGGTCATTATTTGCAAATTTCATTCCAAACCGATAAGCTAAAATTCAGTGTCATTGCTCACTGACAAATTTAAATCTTTCCCTTCACAATTCCTAAATCTCATTATTTTGGTATCAATCATTTCTAATTGTCAGTATTGAATGCCTTCTATTTCTTGTCTGTTCCACACCAAACTATAGCATGAAAACAAGGAATATGGAGAACAAGTCATATGGATTACTTTATACCTGCAAACTAAAAGAAAAAAAAAAAAACTTGCCTTAAAAAATGCAAAAAAACAAAACAAAACAAAAAAAATCCTATAGGGTTCCAACACATGTATGTTGTAAATAACATATAGATGTGATACTAAGTGAGGAAGCATAACTAATGAAGATTTTATTTATTTGGTGAACTGTTCCCCCAGCAGGTTCTAACACTAGAAGCAGGTTCTAACACTATTTGCAGGTGAATAATTCCGTTTTTTTTTTGTTTATTTTGTTTTTTTTAAGGATGGATATATTAGGGGGAAAAAACCATGATAGAATGCCCATAAAATAAATAACATGATTTAATATATTTTAAATAGGAAAATGCTTGAGTACTTACCAGAGAACCTAAACAAAAGTGAACTTTGAAAAAACTATTTTACACTTAATTGCACAGAAAATGTCACAGAATTGCTTTTCCATTTAACAAATTAAACATGCCCATTCTTTTTTTTTTTCGCTTTTCCATTCCATTTCCGGCTATTACATTGAATTTATTACACTTTTTTTTCCAGTGTCTAAGGAACACGATGACTTGTCCTGGCAAATTTGACATTTTTGTCAATAGGACACACAATAGATTTTTTTGGTCTAGAGCTTAAGCAAAGTAAACACATTAGCTTAATGGTGTGTTAACAGTGTTAAAAACCCCATACAAAAAGATATGCAACAGAGCATTTCTATAACTGCTAATGTTCCCGGTAGCCTTCCTGTGCATTATTTATTAACACTGTTGCTTGTAAGAGCTGTTTGCTTTGATGAGTTGGCAGTCCTAACACGATAGCCTACCATTCTTGTGGATTCTTAAACTAATCGCCTGTGGCAGCACTGAAGGTATTTAGCGTGCTCTTAACACCTTGTAGAGCTTGTGGAATCTGCCGCAAGTGGGAAACTCATCCCCTGTAGATTATCGGCTGGCTGGGTCAATAGAGCACTTGCTGCTGAGCTGACACCATAGTTGTTAACATAAAAATGAACTCTTCCTGAACATCATTCGTTTGTCACTCTCATTTTATACTGCCTTCCAAAAAATTTCCTGGAAATACACAGCCTAGCTCAGGAGTTCTCACAAATCAAAAATGTGTCGAAGGACTGTTCTGATACTGTCAAGGACGGCACAGAAAAAGTAATGCTAAATGCAAGTGATAAAATGCAACTAACAATATAAATATATTAGGATAGCAGCATAAATAGGTTTATCAGCATCTGAATGTTTGAATATGTTTCCCGCATTTTTGTTGTTGATGTCGAAGAAATTCTAGATACATTAAAAAATGAAAATCGTTTTCCTCTTTAGTTGAGGCAATGTTTCTTCTATATTGTTGGGCTTATGTAGTTCATGTTAATGTTAATATATTTCAGCAAGCACTTTTTTGCTTACTTTTGTACAATAAACGTTCTCGGTTCTATTTTGAGTTGGCACTTGAGGTTTCAATGTAAAATCCAATTCCCACAAAATCCAAAACATGTTTAAATTAAATAAATCATGTACTCTTGTTTTCCACAGAAATTGAGAAAGGTGGATGTGGAGACCCAGGAGTCCCTGCATATGGAAAGCGAACTGGGGACCATTTTTTACACGGTGATGTGCTGACCTTTGAGTGTCAGGCTGCTTTTGAGTTGGTCGGCGAGAGGACAATATCATGCCAGCAAAATAACCAGTGGTCTGGAAACAAACCCAGCTGCGTCTGTAAGAGTCATTTTCTGAAATGCATGATTATAATTAACATGTTGGCATTTAGAATGATTAATGTATCGCCTCTGTAAAAGCATGACATCTAGATTAGGGGCAGCTATGAAGCCGAATGGCAGCCATCCATGCTAGCAATTCCCAGGTTTGCTCTATGAGAGGTCAATTATCATATTTCTGTTTCTGGAACTTGTTACTGTCTCTTTCTCTCTCAAGAGGAATGCACTGTGTGTGTTTGTTTGACTACACATGTCTGGATATATGCCCAATCTACAAAAAAATATTATATAATATCTATCAATCGGTAATGATCCAAATTTACATAAACATGGTGCCGCTCTGCACCCGTTTTTGAACACACAAACTGAAATACAAACACAACTGTAGTGAATTCGCCCCTCAATCTGTCATGCAATGGCATTTTTCTTTAGTACTGAGGTAAGAGGGAGCAGTGCCTCATTAATGTTTTTGTTGTTAAAATGAAAACCTCTTAAATAGATTTTTTTTTCCTGATAAAGCTCAGATTATGAGTTAATTTCAGACTATAAATTAATTCCTTGACATGCCATCATTTCTGCACCATGCAAAGACCTCATTATCATGATCTATGTGAATCCTCTTTTCTCTCATCTTTTTTTACAGACATAATAGCATTCCTGATAATGTATCCATTGTGGATGAAAATAAATATTGTAACCTTTGCAATGGAATTATATATATTTGTCTTCATCTCCACAGTCTCCTGCTTCTTCAATTTCACCACTCCGTCAGGCATCATCCTCTCGCCAAGCTACCCAGAGGAATACGGAAACAACATGAACTGTGTGTGGCTCATTATAGCTGAGCCAGGCAATCGGATCCATCTCATTTTCAGCGATTTTGAGTTGGAGCCCCAGTTTGACTATCTCATTGTGAAAGACGATGGGATGCCGGAACCCACCACATTTGGAACGTTCTCTGGGAAGGACGTACCCTCACAGATCGCTAGCAATGGGCATATAATGCGCTTGGAGTTCCAGTCGGACCACTCAAACACGGGAAAGGGGTTTAATATCACCTACACAAGTAAATGCAATATCAATATTATGTTGTTTATTATTTTGTAAGGGTGAAGTGTCCAATTTTTGCACCACTAGGAGTACAAATAATGTAGCTGTGTTGGGCTGGTTGGCATACTCAAGTAGAGTATGGTTTGATAATGACAGAGCCACTTTGTTTTAACTTTTCAGGGAAATCTTCCTACAAATTGCTTATAAGGCAATATATCTGCATATTAAACTGGGATATTACGAAGTCTCTTACAAGGCAAGTCAGTTCACTCGGCAGCCATCTTGGGCAGCTTTTTTCAGTCATGCAAGTATAGCTCGTTTCTAATTGAATGGGGAAATACCAAATGTCAAAAAAGTATTTGACAAACTCAGATTTCAATACCATATATTGTATATTTTAGGTCCAGCCCATTGTGCATGTGCAGTGTTAATGAACAGATGAGCCCAAGTTTCACATAAAGACCAGGCAGTGACTTTGCAGATTGGCAGTTGGCTCTTTTATTTGGAAGGCAAGATCTGCCATATTGTTCACTTTTAAACTGCTGGTGTCCTGGTCATACATTTCATATGTAATTGTGTGATTGTTTTGTGTTTATGTAGAAATTATATATTTCAGTCAGTCTGAGAGACATTTGAATAATTTTCTCTCAGGGGTTATTTTTATATGTTTGCAGTATGCAGCTTGTTACAAGGTTTAAATCAGAGTAATATATTTGAAGTTGAATAGATTCATTTGTAATTTTGACTGTTTAAGGTGGAGGATATTATGGTGCAATTCCAACACCTTTCATTAGGCATATCTCCATTGTGAAAAATGCCATACTTCATACTTGCATTTTGACCTTTAGTACAACTTTCACGGGGTTCCATTTTTACAGCAACAAGCTTTGGATTTCTTCCTCTATGAAACCCAGTGAGCTGCCTACGTAGGCAGCATATTAAAAGACAGACTCTACCAAAAAGTAGGCAGAATGATTAAGATACTTTCTTTTGAACAAATTCTAAAGTAGCATCATATGTATGTCATTTTATACACGGGAATTGTGAGCCTTCCTCTAGCTTGTCATTTAACATTTTGCTAGCTTGTTTTGCCCTCTCTGGAATGTAACTTTGATACCAGTGTAGTGTTCATGACGCTTAACTGGTACAGCATGTCCTAGCAATGCCAAGGTCATGGTTTGATTCCTAGGAAACACATTTACTGATGAAACACATGCTTTGGATTGCCTTAAAGGCATCTGCTAAGTGTATAAATGTAGCTTTGCTCTTCATTAACAATACCCTAATTTCGCTGTACTTTCTATAGTGACAATAAATAATCTTGAATCTTGAATAAATATAGTTAGACTGTTAGAATGCCATTAGGGATACTTCAAGTCAGTGAGCTTAATAGCTGAAACCAAACATATTTACATTTTTAGTGAATAGATGTAACTGTGACCGAGATCTGTGTTGGCACGTCTATGTGGGAACAAAATGGGGCGGTAGATGGAATCAGTAGTTCGAGGCAATGTCAGTGTCAGTGGATTGTGTGGTTTGATATCTCAACAGTACTGCTTCAGTAATGGTGTGTCATTGTCTCAGAAAGAAGTAGACATGTTTCCCAAAGTGTCGCTGGAGCAACTGTCAGGCATGGCCGTGAGAACAATGAGGCTGTCATTTGGGAATGGGGTAGAGCTGCGTACATGCCCTAAGCCCTGGCCCAAGATCTCCATGCATTAGCCATCACACTTTCACAGGGGCCTTGCAGACAGATGTGTTCACCAAATGAAAACACTAAAATAGCTTTGCAGGATCCTCTGCTTCTGCGAGTGCACATATTAAATAATTGAAGCTTCCACACTGACATCTGTGATGCATGTGCGACACATATGTGAGCTGTCTGCAGAGTTGTGTTAAGGGAAAACAGAGATTTGACAAAAATCTTCAAGCCATCTCGAGTGTGTCTCAAACCACTGTATGGCAGAAAAAATAGAGGGTTTAGAAACAAAGGCTGAACGCTCTCTGTTGACGTTTATCCATGTACCGCCTCAGAATCTGCGGATTTATTTTTCATGGGAAATTGTAACTGTTAATGTAAAGTTAAGTAAGGAATAATTGATGAAGGACTAATGGATTATGAAAATGAATGCACACCCAATGATGGTAGTGCTGCCATGACACAAATTGAATTGTGCATTAAATGTTTTCATTGATTTTAAATAATTCAACTGTCTGGAGGCAACTATTCCAGTTCTACCAAGGTGGTCATATGTACATTTGATTTTGTCTCAAGACATTCTTCAGGTTTTGGCCCCTTGAAATACTCAATTACTTCATAGCAGTGCAGATACAGAAAATTAATTATGTAACACCTATGGATGTTTGTCAACCAATCAGAATCAAGCATTCAACCATACCATAAAACAAAGTAAATTAATGCATCGTTGATGTAATTATACTGTAATGCATGTTGTAATGGAAAATCTCGACAAACTGCTTTTGCCTCTACATCAGAGCATAACTTTACAACACATTGTAACATTCAAAGATAATCCAGACTTTGTAGAATCCGCTGAACCTAATTAAATGTTTCCAAAGTGACATTTTAAATGAATATTGTTACGTTTATGCCTTGCATTGCATGGTGTCCAACCCAGGCTCATGAGAAGTCATACCAATTTCCAGAAGATGGCGAAATCGTAAGAATACGCTGACCCAAACCTAAAGCTAAACCATAAACCCAAAACACTAAACCTAACCATGATGATAACACTCAAAGATGCACAAAACTATAGAATTTGTACATTTTTGTATAATCAAAGTTGTACAATGTCATACAATTTCACATCTTGTACAATTTATTAGAAATTGAGTTGCCATCAGAGTGTGTAGCTATGAATATTAGCTTTGTTTACACTCATTGCGTTATGTCTGTTTCCATGCTAAATTCAACCGTACAGGTGTACAGGTCATTCATACAAACTTATGTAATTCAAACAACAGTGTATATCCAGACGTATTTGTCCCTTCTTGATGGCATCATTCAAACACATGCTATCATCTGAAGATTAGCGAGGCTGCTATATACAGTATGTTTAAGATTTAGTGCCATCATGTGTGCTAGCATTGTTTTCGCACACGTGTGTTGCCGATTCTCAAAATGAGGTCAAAGTCTAGTGAAGTTTTGGTGCTGCACAGGTAATTGTCACTTCTGCAACATTTCCCTTATGAAACTGGGCATTCTGGGTAAGATTAGTTGTGTTAGTTGTTCCTTAAAAGATAGTTATAGTTCACTTCATTGAAGGTTAGGTACTCTTAATGAATGTTAAGTGCTGGTATCTTCTCAGGCAAGAGCAGGCATGACCTAGAATAAGTATTATATGCTTCAGCAATGATTATACTTTTATCCTGTGTCCGTAGCTTTTGGTCAAAATGAATGTCACGACCCTGGTATTCCCATCAACGGGCAGCGCTTTGGAGAGCACTTCTTACTGGGCAGCTCAGTGCTCTTCACGTGTGATGAGGGCTTTATCAAAACCCATGGATCCGAATCCATCACCTGTGTCATCCAGGATGGAAATGTAGTGTGGAATGCGGCTGTCCCCCGGTGTGAAGGTGAGAGAGGTTTTAGACTTTGCTCTTCTGCACCTTTTCTGAAGGTGCTGCTGGGATTTGTGAGATGGGCTGCTGTTGACATTCTATTTTTCTGCACTCTCACTGTCCCAGCTCCATGTGGCGGACATCTAACGGCTCCCATGGGGGTCGTACTGTCCCCTGGCTGGCCCGGATACTACAAAGATTCCCTCAACTGCGAATGGGTGATTGAAGCCAGAAAGGATCATGCCATCAAGATATCTTTTGACAGGTATTGATTTGTTTAGGGGATTTTTTTTTTCTTTGTGAATTCATAGCATGTGAAACCCCTGGACACCCATCCCTTTCCCCTTTCTGGAAACCCTGGCAACATTCTCTTAAGTACAGGTTCTCACTCTTACAATTTTGTTTGTTAACCTTCCAGTTTAATCTCCCTCATTAGAGTGATTCTGCTAAAGACTTGGGTCGTAAGCAGATGTTCCGCTCTTTCCGATTTCCTGTGCAGGTTTCAGACGGAGGTTAATTACGACACGCTGGAGATTCGGGATGGGCCCTCCAACTCGTCGCCTTTGATCGGGGAGTACCATGGCACTCAGGCCCCCCACTTCCTCATCAGCACCGGCAATTACATGTACCTGCTCTTTACTACCGACAACAGCCGTTCCAGTGAAGGCTTCCAGATCCGCTATGAGAGTGAGTCAGCTTCTCATCTTTGCTCTGCAGTGATTTAAATGCACAGATCTTGGGTTTTCACACTCCACGGTAGGTGGTTCTGCAATATTCCAAATTTTGGCTGCACACGCTCTCTGGTGCATGTAATGTAATTGGAATGGCTTCTCCAGGGTTACAATCAGATATAGTTTTCTAGTTGCCTAAAAAATATTTAGAGAAGCCTGACATGTGTGTGCTAGCATCACATGACCAATATCAACATTCAGAGGCAATAGCTAACTTTAAGAGAGGTGAAGAACCACTGTGAATAATTAAATTAATCCGAAAATAAAGTTTGTTTTCTTTTTGAATATGTGTGGTGGTGGTGGTGGGTTTGTAAATTAGAGTGCAATTAGAGTTTAATGTCCCGCTGACACAAGGCCTGTTTGTTTGTTAGTGCAATCTCAACAGATCGACCAATCATTATTGTTAAAAGCATATTTTAGTGCTCTTGTAGTTATTGTCGGCTTGTTAACAGGGATTAGCCAGAAAAAGCCAACATCGGATTTGGCATCTGTTTTAGTGGATCCCCCACAGGCATACAGAGGAAAAAAATAAATAAAATAAAAAAGTTAATAAATTGTAAATCGGTCATGTAACAAAGAACGGATTAACCACTACTAGCATGAAAGCCTTTTGAATACTTTATATTTCAAATTTATTGTTAAAGGTGGAGCATGCAGTTTTTGTGCTACTAGTGTCACATAGCGGAATAACAAAAAAAAGAAAGTATATTTTCAAACAGCCTTTGCAAGCGCCCCTTTTACTCATCACGACTCCCCTCCCCACGCCTCCTTAACTTGAAGTTTAGCTTACCTGTCGAGAAGAAACTCTACAAGTTCTTCATCTCGACTGAATCCCAAACATTCCATCAATTATTCAATTTTGTAAAAACACCACCTATGTTCACCCTTGTTTTACCACATTGTCTGTCTCTGTGTATTTTGGCAAGTCTTCAAATTTTGGGTTACCGACTAAACACTCTCTGGCTCAGCCTGCTACAGTAGCCCTGCCCCAGACTCTCACTACTGGGTGTGCAGAGGTATGCAAATGCATAAAATAAACAGGCAGGTAGAATATTTATTTATTTATTTATTTAAAATGTGCACACCCTTAAACTCAAATGGCAAAGGACATTTGAATATAACTGTTTAATATTCAAGACAGTTAAAGGACAATTTTGCTGATTTTCAACCAGCTTTATAATGTTATAATATAGCTTTATAATATAAATGTCAGTATTATATGTGACCCTGGAGCACAAAACCAGTCTTAAGTCGCTGGGGTGTATTTGTAGCAATAGCCAAAAATACATTGTATGGGTCAAAATTATTGATTTTTCTTTTATGCCAAAAATCATTAGGATATTAAGTAACTATCATGTTCCATGAAGATATTTTGTAAATTTCCTACTGTAAATATATTAAAACTTAATTTTTGATTAGTAATATGCATTGCTAAGGACTTCATTTGGACAACTTTAAAGGCGATTTTCTCAGTATTTTGATTTTTTTGCACCCTCAGATTCCAGATTTTCAAATAGTTGTATCTCTGCCAAATATTGTCCTATTCTAACAAACCACACATCATTGGAAAGCTTATGTATTCAGCTTTCAGATGATGTATGAATCTCAATTTCGAAAAATTGACCCTTATGACTGGTTTTGTGGTCCAGGGTAACATATGTAAATGAACAGTGTTATCATGTTACCTGCACCTAGATCTCCCGGATTGTTTGTCAGCTTTTGTGGAAACTACAGATCGTACTTCAGCAATTTTTGTATCTCCGCTCTCGGATAGTTGGTTTGATCCCAGAGCATTATGAATGTTGAAGTTTCCTTACCTGTTTTGACAAAAGGGAACACCACAGCCTCTTTTCTCCATTTTCTTTAGTCACGTAGCACCGATTAAATAAATGAATAAAAATAGCCTTTCTACTGTATAGACAAGTTTTATTAACCCTCTACAGCACAGCGTTGCCCTCTTTTCTTAAGCCCCATGTTCAGTACATGTTTCTTTAAATGACTGCAACCAATTGAAATGGTCAAAAAGTATCAAAGAACAGTCCAATAAGGTGTGGGAGTCACTATCAAGCACAATTTGAAGATGGGACTTCTTTTTCTGACACATGGTCACAGGAGCACATGGTGTGAGAAGGCGGCAAGATTATTTGCTTTAGTAAACTTATTTAAAATGACATGAACTGTACATAAAAATAAGTGCATGTGCATGAAGGTGTAGAGAAGACCTTTGTCAGGTCTTATGAAGTTTTTATTTTGTATTTTTTTTATTTTGCATGTTCAGAAATGCAGTTGTCAAATTTTTATTTTTGTTGTCTTAGGGCAACATTGTGTGATAAGGGATAAGGAAGCAGGGGTCCACAGCTCCCATCCCTAACCAGGAGGGTTCCTGGGTGCACAGGGACACCCAAAGTGATGTGCAAAAAGTGTAACGCACACCTCTGTTTCACAGCAGAGAAGAAGTGCTTTTTGAAGTTTCACACGGAGTGAAATCTTATAACATGAACTACATGAGATGAAACAACACTCTACATGATATAAACCTATGCCTGTATCAAACCCAATATATCAATGTGTTTCAAGTGTTTTTCCCTTTTTACTTATTGATTTCTTGACATTTTTGAAAAAAAAAAAGATTTGTGATTTTATATTGCTCTCTGAGCATTGTCTTATGATATAATTTTTAGCATGTACCATCAAAATGTGTGCAGAAGTGGGTTAAAAGCCCATATATTTAATGAAAAATCAAGTGTAATATTAATGTTATAAATAATTTATAGTATCTAGAAAAAGTAAAACCTGAAGTTGTAGCATTTTTATAATCAGTTTGTCCAATGGAGATGTCTTATCGTGGCACAAAGGCACACAGATGTAAATGAACAGAAATCAATCTTCCCTGCAAACAAAATCAAATTATCAATGATCAAATTCTTATTTCAAAAACAGAACTGTTAATAAATTAAGCGCTTTACAAATTGACAAATGAACAGACATAGTTGACATTATTGTTATGTTATATGTTGTTATATTATGTTATGTTTAAAAATAGAGATAAAATATGGAGATAAAGATAAAAGATTTAAAAATGCTAAATCATTTCTTTTGTAGACTTTGCATAAATAATGGCTATTTATTTATTTATTTTCAGCCATTTAAAAAAAAAAAAATGTTATGCCATTGGTTGGTCCCACATGTGATTTTTCACCTGCCAGTTATAAGAACTGGCAACCAGAAATACTGTCTAGGACCTATAATATGGAAGAGAGGTGGGTGCTCCTTATGTAGTTTACTAATTTGTTTGTTGGTTTGTTGGTTGCACCCCGCTGCTCATGTGCAGTATCGATTGGAGTGTTAAATACACCAGTCCTTGTTCCAAACCCTTATAATTAACAAATTTAGCACCGCTTATAGCACATATCCATGTGCCTGCTTGTTTTGTATTATTGCAGCTATACAAATAGATTTGTTTGTAAAATTGAAAGTTATCACTTTTTACCCCCATGAGCTTAACTGAAAAATGCAAATGATATCTTTATAAAAACTAAATGACTTGACAAATAGTCTCCAGTTGCTCTTTTTCAGCAATAATTTAACATATTTATTATAATGTAATGTGCTGCAGTAGAGACGGAAGAATGAGAAATGTGGGCAAGAGGCAAGATGATTCTCAAATGATATTCACGACTCCCAATAAATTACCTGCCATTATGACTGATATACATGAAACTCATTCGTGTCAAAGTGTTCCCATTTTTCATTCTTTATAGATGGCTATCAGAGGTTTATCAGTGGCCACAAAATAGATCTGAATGCATGTGAAACTAACAGGTGGAAATATTCCTCAGAAGTCAGCCTCTGAGGAGAAACAGTTTAGAAAAACAGTGCTGTCAGCTTTTCCGAATGGTATTCAAAATATAGAAGAGGTAAGTAGAAATAAAAATGTACTGGTTCAAGGAAGGGAGACCACTTGGGGAATGGTATCTGCTGATTTATACTTTGTAAAGTGCTTCCGACACCATCCTCCTTTCAATTTAGACCTTGAAGGTGAAATTCTTTTTTTTTATTTTTTGTTTGTTTTGTTCCTTCCACACAGGTATTATGATGGAAACAGATTCCTGTTTAGATCCAGGTATCCCGGTGAATGGGAAAAGGCACGGGAACAATTTCGCCATCGGCTCCAGAGTGACGTTCAGCTGCGATCAAGGCTATACTCTGAGCGATAATGAACCCATTGTGTGTGTGAAATTCTTTTTTTTAATTTTTTGTTTGTTTTGTTCCTTCCACACAGGTATTATGATGGAAACAGATTTCTGTTTAGATCCAGGTATCCCGGTGAATGGGAAAAGGCACGGGAACAATTTCGCCATCGGCTCCAGAGTGACGTTCAGCTGCGATCAAGGCTATACTCTGAGCGATAATGAACCCATTGTGTGTGAGAGAAACCATCAGTGGAACCATGCACTGCCCAGCTGTGACGGTAGGCCATGTTGCGCTCTCTCGATTCTAGTCATGTACAAGAGTATCAGCTCCTCACTACCACCCAAAGATGCCTAAAAACTGGACCCTGGTGTCAGCTTGCACTCTATGTTTTAAGCACCCAGGTGTTTCGTTTGGGGAAAACTTTGGAGGCCCCTGAAAATCAGGGGCCCGAGGGCATTGGTCCAACCCTTCTAGGCTGCATTACATTTTTATCAGAGGGGAAAGGGTAAGCCCTCTTAACACTCCTCCGAGATTTGAGTTCATGCATTTTTGATTAGGGGAGAGGTGACTGGCATGCGCTGTTTCATAGATAACATTAAATGGAGGGGGAAAAGGACAGGGAAGTAGGAACATATAATGGAAGTCCTTAGCCAGATATCTACAGGAGAGCGCTCTATAAAGCTGTTTATCTTATTTGCTTTCCGATTACAGGGATTGAAGTAAACAAAGTGTTTTCCAGTAAGACCAATCAGGCTGTTGCCTGCCTCTTCCAGAATTCCCAATGCTTTCTTATGCCTGCATCGTATCAGCTCCGTGTGTTTGCTCAGACTTTGATTCAGCTTGACGGGCTCTCACCAGATCCTGACCTTCATTACAGACAGGACAGATACTCCCCATCTGTTTGCCGGAATGTAAATGCATGTTCATAAAAGATTACACGTTTCCTTCCTGTCCTGTCAGGCTGATTATTATTATTAAATGGAGAGTTCAGACTTAAAATTCTGATTTGTCGAGCCACATTCGGAGCCATTTTAACATGCTGGTTAATGCACTACACTGATCGGCCACAGCATTAAAACCACTGGCAAGTGAAGTGAATAACATTGATTATATTGTTACAGTGGCATCTTTCAAGAGGTGGCATATACTGTATTAGGCAGAAAGTGAAGAGTGGGTTCTTGAGTGACTTTGGCTTGGGTTAAATAGTCATGGCTATTTGACTGGGTCAGAGCATCTCCAAAAGTGGAAAGTCTTCTGGGGTGTTCCCTGTATGCAGTGGTTAGTACCTACCAAAAGTTGCGAAGAAGGACAACCGGTGAACCAGCATCAGGGTCGTGGGCTCAGTGATGCACATTGGGACCGAAGGTTAGTTCGTCTGGTCCTATCACACAGGCGGCCATGAAGACCAGTCAGACCACAGACCAGTTCCCATGAAAACCCCTGTCCATCCCCAAAAGCACATACAATGGGCATGTGAGCATCAGAACTGGACCTTGGAGCAATGCAAGAAGGTTGCCTGGTCTGATGAATCGTGTTTTATTTTAGATCAGTTGCATGGCCGGATGCGTGTGTCATTTACCTGGGCAAGAGTTGTCATACATGTTATTAGACAGGTGGTTTTAATGTTGTGGCTGCTCAGTGTATATTAAGTTGCTGCATTGCTTGGCAACCACAAACAACCTGCACTGGAGACCAAACAGCAATAGCCCACTTCAGGCATTGCATTGCAGTGATTATACCATTGTTAAAAGGGTTTTAGGCACTCCGGTGTGCCTGAAGGCCTTTTCGCACCAAACATGAATATTTGCTGCAAATGTCTGAACAACATTATTAACAACGATACATTCCTAGTAGTGATTACTCTAAAAAGTGTATGTGTGGGGTGGGGGGTAGGATTATTAAACTTAATATCATGAATATTAACTAGGTGATGCAACCTTTAGCCAACTAAGTAAAGCTGTTTTGCTTAACCGACAATCAGCGCCAATCAATTAAAATCTCAACTGCTGTTCATGAACTCTCCAAGTTTAAAGGGGTCATATGATGCGATTTCAAGTTTTCCTTTCTTATTGGAGTGTTACAAGCTGTTTGTGAATAGATACGATCCCTAAAGTTGCAAAGACTAAAGTCTCAAACCCAAAGCGATATTCTTTATAAAAGTTAAGACTAGTCCACTCCCTCCTAAAACGCCTCGTTTAAACACGCCCCCACATGTCTACGTCACTGTGTGGGAAGATTTGCATAACACTGCCGAAATGTTCACGCAAAGAAAGAAGGCATAACTTTTATCTTTAGTTATGTTGTATGCATTGGTTAGTTTACCTTATGAAAAGTTGTGCTAATTTTGGGATAGACCGACTTCAGATTTAATAAGCCAGAATTATAATTTGATGAAGAGATTTAATGGGCCGTTTAAGGACAAAATGCTGAAGCTCAAAATGTGTGTCCTGTCATAACCTGCACCGTATGATTTATTTCGATAAAAGCAGGATGATGAGCATGGCTCAAGGACACATTCAGTATTCTGTTATGATGTCTGTCTTACAGCTCTGGTGCTTAAGCTCTTTTTTAACTGCCTCTATTGACAGACGTTCTCCAGTCTGAAAATTGTCTCAGTTGTTACATCTCCTTTTGATCTTCTTACAAGTATTTTCCCTATATACAATGTCAACCTCTTATTAGTTAGTGTATCTTTAAACTCTGTTACTTTTCATGTAGAAACATCTCTATTTCCATGTTTTGCATCTATCATCTTGTAGTTTCACTACAAAGAGAGGAAGCTTTGCAAGTTTTATTCTGATATTTACTTATGTAACAACTATTTTACATGTTCTAGGTATTGTTTGTCAAGTGTTTGACCCAGATACCAACAATTTGCAACACCCTGGCAACCAGCCAAAACACCCTTGCAACTATATAGTAAAATGCTGAAACCACTCAGAACTTTTTAGCAACTGCATAGCAACGCCCTGGCACCACCAGCTATATCTAGTTAAGCTTGAAGCAAAATAATTATTGATGAAGGATGTACTTCAAGGCTAGATTTACTCTTTTTCAGGGAAAGCAGGCCATTCAAACATGAGTTATTTCTGCTATTGCTTTTCCAGCTTTGTGTGGGGGCTATATCTATGGAAAAACTGGAACGGTTCTTTCCCCTGGTTTTCCGGATTTCTACCCAAACTCTCTGAACTGCACTTGGACGATAGAAGTGTCCCATGGGAAAGGTAAGACAAAAGAACAGGTCACAGCCACAAGAGCTGCACATACTGTTGAAACTGATAACAGTTTGAGGCACAGTGATTTTACCCATGAGATTCCTTTCTGTGCCCTTTGAAATTACCCTTGGTAACGAATTTAAGATACACATTCTCTACATTTTATTACTCAGCACCATGTCGGGCAAATGCGATTCTGTTTCGATCAGTATTACGTTCCCTCTGAAGGCTTCTCAGTGGGTTGTGAGGTTGAAACGGAGATTTTGCTTGTGACTGACGGCCCTAATCTCATCTGAAACTCCCCAGGAGTGCAGCTTCTCTTCCACACGTTCCACCTGGAGGACTCCCATGATTACCTGCTCATTACCGAGGACGGCAGCTTCACCGAGCCGGTGGCCAGGCTCACGGGCTCCGTCCTGCCACCCTCCATCAAAGCAGGCCTGTTTGGCAACTTCAGCGTCCAGCTACGCTTCGTCTCGGACTTCTCCATGTCATACGAGGGCTTCAATATCACCTTCTCAGGTGAGGGCATCACTCATTCTGTTCATTAATGTGTGCTTGAAGGCACGGTTGTCATGGTGCTTACTCTAACCCATGCTTTGCTAAGCAGTCTGGAGGTTTAAGAGTTATTATGACTTTGTGCTGCAGAGTACAGCTTGGAGCCGTGCGAGGACCCGGGAGTACCCGCATACAGCAGGAGGGTGGGCTTTCAGTTTGGGGTCGGTGACTCCCTGGTCTTTTCCTGTTTTGCGGGCTACCGTTTGGAAGGCGAGAGTAAGATCACTTGCTTGGGTGGAGGGAGGAGAGTATGGAGTGCAGCCCTGCCCAGATGTGTGGGTAGGTGGACATATGATTTAATTTATTATTCTCAAACATCAACGTGTTTATTAAAGGGATAGTTCTCCCAAAAATTAAAATTCCGACATAATTTACTCACGCTCATGTCATTCCATATTCTTAAGACCTTTGTTCATCTTTGGAACATATTAATATATTTTTCATATATTTTGTCCTAAAAGTAATCCATATGAATCAAGCAATTTAATCCAAGTGTTTTGAAAAAGCATGATTGCTTTGTATGATTTATATGTATTACTTCTATGTCTTTTTGAAGCTTGTAAATGCTGATTACATAGACTTTTAAAGGATGGACAAAAAATATGACAGAATACTAAAATCCAAAGATAAAAGTCTTATGGGTTGGAAATTATATATATATGGCATGTCAAGATGCTGATTAGACAGCATGATTATTGCACAGGTGTGCCTTAGGCTGGCCACAATAAAAGGCCACTCTAAAATGTGCAGTTTTACTGTATTGGGGGGTCCGGGGGGGTCCGAAAACCAGTCAGTATCTGGTGTGACCACCATTTGCCTCACGCAGTGCAACACAGTTGATCAGGTTATTGATTGTGGCCTGTGGAATGTTGGTCCACTCCTCTTCAATGGCTGTGCGAAGTTGCTGGATATTGGCAGGAACTGGAACACGCTGTCGTATACGCCGATCCAGAGCATCCCAAACATGCTCAATGGGTGACATGTCCGGTGAGTATGCTGGCCATGCAAGAACTGGGATGTTTTCAGCCTCCAGGAATTGTGTACAGATCCTTGCAACATAGGGCCGTGCATTGTCATGCTGCAACATGAGGTGATGGCCTCAGGATCTCGTCACGGTATCTCTGTGCATTCAAAATGCCATCAATAAAATGCACCTGTGTTCGTTGTCCATAACATACGCCTGCCCAT